TCAATTCCTATAGGAATTCCTATAGGAATTTCCAATGCCAATAGGAATTCCTATAGGAAATTTCAATTCCTATAGGAATTCCTATAGGAATTTTCAATGCCTATAGGAATTCCTATAGGAAATTTTAATTCCTATAGGAATTCCTATAGGAATTTTCAATGCCTATAGGAATTCCTATAGGAAATTTCTATTCCTATAGGAATTCCTATAGGAATTTTTTTGATCATTTTCAATTCCTATAGGAATTCCTATAGGAATTCCTATAGGAATTTTGATTTCCTATAGGAATTCCTATAGGAAATTTTCGGAAGGGCAGTTATAATTAAGAGACAACCTGGTGAATTTTGACATGTATTAATTTGTATTTAAAAATTAAAATTCATTTCACTTGCCGAGACATGTCTAAAGATTGCTGAAGGTTACATCTCTTTGTTCTCTTGTCTCCCTAACAGGAATATAGCCCAACTTATAATATAAACAGCCTTGAAGTGGCTGCATGTAGACATTAATTAAAGCACTGACACATATACTTCTAGCGCTATACTGTACAATGCAATTTTTTATGCTATACTTTTCTTGCATAGGCCAAAATCCGACTTTATGTTGCCACCTTTGATGTTTAGTGTATATATATAGCCAGCCACCACGTTCCAGGAGAGGCTAGCAATATGTCACCAAATATGCTAAGGAGAGGCTAGCAATATGTCACCAAAACATTCACAATGGCTCGCTTCATTTAGATGTTCAAGGGGTGATCTAGTGTCTTATGTAAGCACACAAGCTAGGAATATGGAGACAGCATTGTGAGTGCATTGCTATTGCGATTAAATGGTTATGGGTCTCTGGCTTAGTTGGCAGTGGCATAGCCAGCCTGACAATTTAGTCCTGCTATGCAAATTCAGAATTAATATTATCCTTATTCATTTTTTTTTTAAATTGATTGTTTTGAATTCACAGTCTATGAACACAAAAATATTTGTATCGCTATCATATATAAATCATCGGGCTGGCTACACTATACTGTTACAGTAGTTGGACCTCTGTATCTGTTCATATGTCACTGTGGCTAAGTTGATAGTGCATCAAAAGAAGCTCATTATCTTTCATTGAATTTGGCACTAACATGGCTGCTGTTTTATTGACTTTTAATGGCTGCTGTTTTATTAACTTTTTTCTCTGTAATCCACCTATATCACAAACTTTCTCCATCAAAATACACTGTACCAAGGAGTTTTAGTATCGCAAAGTGGAAACACTGACAAAATGTGGTGATTGTTATTTGGTGATTGTGTGAATATTTGACAGAAAGATGTTTTAAACTTTATTCTTGTATTTTGAGGTCAAAAACATAGACAACTCGAGTTCTTGATCTTCAATTCTACCCCAAATCTTAACCATAACCATGACTATAATGTGGTGGAGGGGAGGGGGACACCAGTTCAACACAAGGGGTACATGGTTAGTGCACAAAACCAAGCACCTGTTTCCTTTCACATTTTCGATTCATAAGTATTAAATTGGTGCTTCCCACCATGATTCTCGCATGTCCAGGGTTCGAATTAGACAGGAAGAATCGATTCGCAAATTTCCTTCTTGAAAATTTGAAGGAAATTTCAGTTTTGAAAAGTGGAAACACTGCTTGCGAAAAAACAAAATGACGGTCGTTTTGTCGGCAGGTACAAAACGCAGGTTGCAGGTTGCAGGTTGGAATTTTGCAGGTTGGGAATTTTGCAGGTTGGCATTTTGCAGGTTGGGGATTTTGCAGATTGGAATTTTGCAGGTTGCCAGGAATTTTGCAGGTTGATGATGCAAACTTAAAATTACACCACTATAAAGTATTCTAATATAATTTAATTGTTTACTTATTGCAGTCTGACTCCTTGTCGGCACTTTTGCTATCAGTCTATCCTGCTACAATGTTCCTAGCTTCTGCTCTAAGGAGTGGCCATCACCCTTGTGAAAATATTCAAAATGACCAGATTGGCTTGAACCTTCAGGGGGACGGATATTTCGATTGTTGCGAGGAGCCTACATGACGTGGTGGCAGTTCAGAAAATGCCTGAATGAAGTGTCTCTCCTCTGCATCCACTTATGAGAAGTGTACTCAAGGCCCCAATTACCGTATCATTACTCGAGAGTTAGTTAACTTTTAACAACATTCTAGTATAAACGCCGCCAGGTCATGTTGGCACCTCGCAACAATCAAAACATTCGTCTCCCTGTAGGTCCAAGCCAATCTGGTCATTTTGAATGTTTTTTACGGGGGTGTTGGCCACTAGCCTTAGAGCAGAGGCTAGGAACATATGGCAACAGGGTAGGCTGATTAGCTGATATCAAAAGCGCCGACAAGGAGTCAGACTGCAATAAATGCACAACTAAGTTAAAAAGTTATACTAGAATACTAAAAAAGTGGTGTAATTTTAAGTTTGCATTATCAACCTGCAAAGTTCCTGGCAACCTGCAAAATTCCAACCTGCAAAATCCCAACCTGCAAAATCCCCAACCTGCAAAATTCCAACCTGCAAAATCCCCAACCTGCAAAATTCCAACCTGCAACCTGCAACCTGCAACCTGCGTTTTGTACCTGCCGGTCGTTTTGTAGCGAATTTTGTAAATTTTCTGAAGAAATTGTAGCCATATTCTTCATTTCACACATCCTTTTAGTACAAAATTACAATAATAGTCAGCAAAATACTCCATTATAGTAAAATACATTCAAAGTGATTGTGAAAATCAACCTTTGACACATTGCCGGTTTTTGCAAAACGCCATTCGCAAAATGGATGATTTTGCGTTCGCAAAAAGTGAATTTGCATTCGCAAATTGCGAATAGCGAGCCGCTAATTCGAACCCTGATGTCATTTCGAGAGTTGTCACACCGAGATGTAGACTTCTTGCAACGTTCTGCAGCTAGATTCGTTACTAGAAATACTGTACGTTATGATTTATATCCCCTTGCCTTCTTTGTTGGTTTGAGATTTAACCCAATGGGGTTGTGCATCCAAGATCCTACACATCAAATAATGAAAAATTTCGAAATAATAAGAAAAGGTTGATAATTGTACGTTTCGTTCCTGCATGGGACCGGTGGTTTTAAAAGAGCTTTCATGGGTACTGGGCCAATATCTGGTGTTCTACAGGTGGGATGAGACAGCCCGCAAGAAAATGCGTCCAGTCGGCAAGAATATTGAGTTTTGACATAATATTCAACGGAGTGACGTCGTAGCGTTGAATATGAAAGAATGATATTCAACGGAGTGACGTAATATCGTTGAATATGAAAAACATATTTAACGTTATGACGTCGTGCAATGGAAATACGAATACGAAATGTGGAAACACGACCAAAACAATATCGTGCCGCCTTCGGCCGTGTTTGCAGCAAATTGCAGGTTTAAAGGAAACAACTTTTAAAGGATAAAAGAAAGGTTTTGAAAGATCTTAAGACTCATATGAAAGAAGAAAGAAAAAAATTGGGAAAAAGAACTGGTCATTATTTCGACGAATTGAACCCACAGATGCGGATTTCTTTTTCATCTTTGAAATAAATAATAAAACAATTATTGAATTCGGTTTTCGCCAGATATTTAACAGTTATTCTACGAACTCGAGTCGAATATGAGCTGATAGCCTATATGATCGGCTGCGAGTGAGTGGAATAACTGTTTTATATATACACAAGGTCTGAATTCACAGACTTTGAAAGACTTTGCTTTTCCGTTATTTTCAATATTTTTCTATTTTGTTTATGTTTTTTCTTCGCTCTTTCGGCCGATTATTTTTTCAAAAATATATATTTTTGGATATTTTCTGTAAACAATTTGTGGGAGGTTTTTCAGTGTGTTTTTAATCCCGTAAAGGCTATAAAAAGCGAACAACTTGCCGTTTTCTCGTTCGCAAAACGTCGGAAGATCAATTTGAGCCGACATTTTGTTTTTCTCTACTAGCAGGATACGAGCTAATATTCTGCTAGTATAGAGAGCCAATCAGATTGCAGAATATACCTCATATCCAGACCTTGTGTATATAATAATAAGAATTATCAAGCCCTCAGTTCGTGTTACCAACCTCAGCCTTCGGCTTCGGTTGATAACACGGACTTCTGGCTTGATAAATCTTCATATCAATAATATCATGCTCAACCTCATTCAATAATTGTTAAATATCACACATAATATCACTTATAAACACTTTCAAGGGAGGACATCTACTGTATATGCAGTCTATAAGGATTAATGCATGGATCAAGAACTTATATAGTGTATGTTGTTTTAGTTTTAGTATCCTTTGTTCGAGTTCGTTAAATCGGTTATAAGGCAGTATTAACTTAAAATTCTGGGAATATATTTAATATAGGATGGAGACATATTCTGTCGTGTTCTATCAAAACAGATTTTTCTTCCCGATGAAGAACTTGATATTGAACACAGGTAACTAATGATATATGTAATGCTCATTTCCTGGATAAATCTTATAAAAGCTAACTTTTACTGATAGTGATACTATACATTCCGCATAAGGCGTTCGCCTATACAAAGCGACATCCTTGTGCGTGCAGAGTTATCAATCGACGATTTCACGTGTTGTTAGTTTCATACATTAAGATTTCACATAATATGAAGTGCTGACTTTATCATACATGCATATATGAATTGATTTCTGATGTTGAAATTTCAGATATTGATCGATTACGGATTTTAGAATTAATTAACATATATTATAAAACATTTTCCGTTTTGATATACAGTTATATCAACACTCGTGGAAATTGGGAAAACTCGAAATTGTGTGGAAACACGACGCCACGAGTGTTGATATAACTGTATATCAATACAGAAAAATGTTTTATATTTTTTATAATATAGCACAAAGAAATATAAAGAAAGAAATCTTCCGTGTTGATATCGAGCTGTATCAACACGGCTCTTAGCCAATGCAATTTTACTTCACATATGGTATAGAAATTTCACATGTGAAATTACTGATTCAACGCGGAAGTTCCGCCGGAAAAATTAACAAATCGCATAATATACGTTTTAGGAGCGGACCATTAGAAAAGTGATTGGGGAAGCAAAATCCATCCCTTACGTCTGTGTTAATTGAAATAACATCTCGCATGTTGGGTCATGACTTTATTCAGGGTGTGCACGGGCCTCGAAAATCCTGGAAAGTCCTTGAAAAGTATTGCATGTCCTTGAAAGTCCTGGAATTTCTTTCCATCTGTGCTGGTAATACTTGAACATTATTTGGACTAATTATATGGATTTCGAATAAATAGTAATGTTTTAAAAAGCAAAGTCCTTGGCAGTTTTTCCAGTTTTAGATCCTTGAATTTACTGAAAACATTCTTGAAAGTCCTGGAAATGTGCTGGAATTTCATCTTCACTGGTGGATGGAAATCCTGTTTAATTTATAGATGATTAGGGAAATTAAGGAGTACGGACCATACATGCAGCGGTTCCCGGCTGTATACCACTATCTCCCAACCCTATAGTTACGCCATCCAACTGTGTTTCACACCCAGCCACGAAAAAGGATTTCTTTCTGCTAAGTCCATACGCATAAAATTAACATTGCTTGCATGTGTTATCTAATACTACTGCTTTTTTGGTAAATTTAGTGAAAAAATTGTGTGTGATTTGTTTGGATGCCAAAAGATATTTACCAGCGTTGCCAGGTATTTATTTTCTGAATTGAGGTGAATCATATTGTGCTTCTAGATATTTTTTATTTTCCATTGCGCTTTCATTGACACATATTGATTGGCGTGTCTTCCCCTTAACAGCATTTTGTCATATTTACTCAGCTGTAAACATTTTTGCAGAAAACAGCATAATTATTATATTATTATTGGATAAGAGCTTGTTGTACATTTAATCCTGATCAATGCAGATTGGTGATGAACAATATGTATTAATTGTAGCTTTGCAGCAGTGGATCAAGTGGTTCTTCATTGACCGGTCACGTTTTGCTACCACTGCAATTTATATCGAATGCATATGATTCTCGCAAATGATAAAGTTAGATCGCGGGTGAATAGTCAAGAATAGTTGAGAACGTGTACAGTAGTTATTGACCATAGTTAATTTATTTGTTTTATTATTTTTTTAACCTAAAAAAATACTTTTTTATGTAGTTACGAAGCTCACTATGGCAGTTTCCACAGAAACATTTGCCTTGAATGTCATCGATCATTTCCCTCAAACTTTCTCTTGGATTTGCATATTTTAGAAAATCACGATGTTCTCTTTAAGTTAATGTCTAATGCCAAGTATACGGTTGGTAACTATTTAAAGTTGGCTTATTTGTATATAGGTTTACGTATACATGGGGAGGAGTATACTATATCTAATAGTAATGCAGTGTTACCCTTCGACACTTCGTACGTTTGATAACATAGCAAATGTTTATAAGCTGTGCTTGATTATACTATTCACTTACGAGTTGAACAATCATTCAGTATAGAAATATACAAAGCACGTAGAAGATTCTGCGGAATCATTAAATCCTTATTGATAGTAAAGGTGTGATTGTGAATTCCTCCACTCTCCATTTGCCTCAATTATTTACTTGCAGCTCCGCCCATTTTACTGAATATGCAGGCTGAAAGTGGCGAATCCCACATTTTTCTGAATAGATCAGCCTGCTTTCTGTTGTTTTACCTTTCGGTGTGTTTTCTTCGTTACATAGCACAGGTGCCTGGTTGAAAGTTGTCCCGACAAATTTTCAAATGACGATGAGCGAAAGGTATAGCTTAATCCGTTTTAATTTTATGTATGCTTTTTTCAAACAAGCTCGATTTTATATTGCCGCAAATATTTATAATACTTTATATTTTAAATAAATTACACGATACAAATATATTTGTAATACTAATTATATATTGTATTACTATTAATATTATAAAATATTTACATATATTAACAAATTTTATTATTTGTAAACAAGGAACATCTGGTTACAGTTCATAAGTACCCAGCAAATTTTCGTTTCAATCGCCCAACAAGAAAACAAAGGAAACTGACGGATGCTTCTGAGGATATGGAGATAACAAGTAACATGGTATAAAGATAGTTCTGTATAAATTATTTATTGTCCAATTTGTCACAAAAGGTCTGTGAAAAGGTGAATTGTATTCACTGTGCATGATTTCATTAAATTTGCAAACATAATTCCTGTTCTATCCATGCATGCGTACATCATTTGACTATATTCTTGTTCTTTCTTTTAGAACATTCAAGCCAATGTTACCACTACAAGAACAGAAAGGTACTAAGCTGCTAATAAATAGAATTTTCATGTCATGTTCGATTTCGAATGTCGCTGTATAGGTACCGGTGTTCAGCCCGTTGTGGGTTCACGGCACCAGCTGCAATACCACACCTGTTTCTGAACTTGCTGCTGCAGTTCAGGTAAAGAATGCAATTGGGCCTTAACGCTAAATGGCACTCTCTGGTGAAGACACTAGACTGAGCTTTCGAAACGTAGGGTCGCAATAGACCTTTTTAATAACAAGGTCAAACGCGGATAAACGCTTAATACATTGTGGCACGTTATCGTTGCCGCCAATCAAATTTTATGTAACATTTGCATTGCGAATTGTCGCTAAAAATTTTCCCCGTGGGACATCGCATAAAGGTCCAGACACACCGGACGCGATTGACAACGCGACGCGATTTTTCGATTTTCACTGACCGATAACTTTGATCCTAGTTTAAATTTTCCAAATATTTAGAAGCGCTATAACATTTTGAGTTATATAATTATTTGGTATACATATCTTTCAAAAATTTCTCTCATTGGCTATAATATTAACTTTCAAAAACTAAAAAATCGCGTCGCGTTGTCGAATCGCGTCCGGTGTGTCTGGACCTTTAAGCTGTTCATTCGCGTTTGGCGTCATTATGAAAAATATCTGTTGTATATAGTCATTAATTTAATCAGAATATAGTGAGGGAAAATATGTATAAAAAAGAACTTGTTTCATTTCTATACGTCTCATCTTTATGTTTATGTTTTAGTTCGACTGACAGTATGGAGGTGGCAGATGAGCATGTTCTGGAAAAAAGAAGGTATCGTTAAAACCTGTTGTTGACTGAAGATATCACCCCCATCGGGGGCCCTTTTCAACTTCACCAAAAGTTAAATATGAGCTAAAATGAAAAAAAGATAAATACCACAACCCGCCATGTTAGATATGTACTGTATATGATATGTACTGTATATCCGTGAAGTCACAACCGAAGTAAAATTATTTGACAATTGAGCAATTCTTGTATCGCCTCCGAGCCAACGGCGCGAGGATACTAATTCCGCCCAGTTATTTACACCCGGGGAAAGGAACGCATTAGCGAACTCTAAAGTTCATCAATAATCGCGGGCGCATGGCTATGGTTCACCGTTTACCGTTCGGTGGGTGGTCATCCTCACTGATCTCAAAATAAAGTGAACTGTCATGAATAGCGAACAAGGCTTTCTAAAAGAAGGGAGCAAAGACGCCGACGTTAATGAAGGTAACTTTGTTTTAGATATTGATGTATTACTGCTTTACAAACTGATCGTTGCGTATAATGATAAAAGACAGCATATAATTTCAGTGTATGTTTATTAATTACCCTTTTTATTATATTAAAATCTTCTTAAATAAAGAGGAAAGCAAAGTTATTTTCATACAAGAATTTGAAATCATTTTATTTCATACTCAAAGTTTATCGATAAAAGGCAGTTTAGTTTTAAGAACATTTTAAATCGTTTTGCGAAGCGTTTGTGGTTGACCTTCAGTCTTTACATTAAATTGAAGGGTTATATTACGTCTAATAACGTCTAATAACATACCTAACATATATATGTTTGGGAAATTGATAATTTTGTAATTAAAAGTGATATTTTGGGGGATTTTTCAATTTTAAAAACATTCTTAATAAAATTATTGTGTTACCATGACAACTATTTTAAATACTTCATGTTCGGAAAATATAATGGTTTTGTTAGTAAGGCGAGGGTTTCTACATGCATGTATTTCTAGTTACAATACACAAGTTTAATATTTAGCTGATTGTTTATGAATTCTACTAACCTTTACTCTGGTTTGTGACCTCACTTAATAATTAGTTCTAATTGAGAAACAAAATGTCTAGTACGTAAATATTATTAACATAGTTTTTGTTAGCATTTCCGAGTTATCTGTTAGCACTTTGGATGATTGGCAATTCTTTGCGTATAGGCACAGGGAGCAGAGGAGTCGAGTTTGTCTAGTAAAACAAGACAAACACCGTCTTACCTTGTTAATTGTAATATATTTCATTGTAGAATCCCAAACCATTAATACCAAAATATGAATTTCAATATTAAAATATACTCCGCTGCCTTGCATTATCTTAGCCTCGTATTTTCCAATCTCGTACCCAGAGCACGCGGGCTAGGAAGGCATTGGCTCTGGGGAAATATAATTTTTCCTGTGCTGTGATTGGTTTAACGTTTATCAATAGTGCATGCCGACATAGAACCGGAACCCCTAAATTTAGGGGTTCCGGTTGTCTATTTCCCCAGAGCCAATGCCTTCCTAGCCCGCGCACAGGCATTGCTCTGGGTATGAGATTGTGTATTTTCCGAAAAGCCAACGAACACTGACCGAGAGCGCAACGAATAACAAACGAAGAAAGGGAGGAAACATTGGAGATCTTTCGTGGCATGTGCACCGCAACACCCTATGACGGAAATGAATAAAACCGGAAGACGCATTGACCAATGACCTATAACTTCATTTAACAGTTGTAATTAGTTATCGAATTTTGAATTCAAATTCGCGTAAACATTAAACAACTGTAAATGTAAAATATTATTTGAAAATGTAAAATATGATTTGAAACATGGAGAGATTTAATTTTTAAACGGCATGCGATGGATATCGTTGAAGTCGAGGAAAATTTTTTGAACATTTCGAACAGAGACAAACATATCTTTGTATCTAGCTAACTTAGTAAAGTAATTCATTCAGCAATCCTCAGTAAATATTTACTGTAACCGTTTACCAATTGTCTCATTTTGTTCATATACCTTACATTTATATGGAATTTTCATATTATGCTTGATGTTAGTTTTTCAAAATCGAAACAATTCACTATGAAATTTGAATCAATCATGCATCAACACGAAAAAATACGTCACTTCCGTCATAGGGTGTTGCGGTGCACATCGTACGAAAATAATCGATGAATATTGTATACAAAAAATTATGTTTTTTATGAAATATTAAGCAAGTGCCATCCTAAAATATCATTCCAATGACTGTTTCCTCCCTTTCTTCGTTTCCTATTGTCAATGAAATATATTACAATTAACAAGGTAAGATCGTGTATAGGTACCTGTATATAACGTGATAACGTCGTTTTTAGTTGATTCCAGCCGTTATTCATGTTCCTGAATAAATATGTCATATATTTGACTGAATTTATATCGCCTTGTGATAGTTTCTGGGATTTTTTTAAATCGCCTAATCAACTATTGTATTACAATTTAAGAGTACCAAAAGGCATTTGTTTTGGTCGTGGGTCAATGATGGCATTCCAAAGAAAAGGACAAAGCCGACGAGGGCGTAAATAAAAGTGACGTTGTAAGAAAGCATGGACTGGACAAGTAGTTGTTTAAGGAATGAAAGATTTATATATTGGTTGAAAAGAAATCGAAAAATACATGTGTTGTTGAATACCCCCCCCCCCCCAATAAATTAACGTTCTTTGAAATATAAGAAGCCCTATGACAATTGTAATATAAAGGCTGTATAATTAACAGTAAATTTACCTTTTTTATTCTAACTTTCAAAGCATTGATTTAGATCTACGGTTTTATTAGGTTCTTATTTATGGCTTCACCGTGCAAAGTCTTTGTAAAGCCGGTTCCCACTTGACGAATTTGCTTAAATTACAGTACTGCATGGTCAGAATTAGATAGAGAAATGCTAAATAATTGTAAAATTAAATAAATCAAACGTAGCTATTAGTCTAGGACCTGCATATGAGTTTGTATGCATTTCATTTAAGACAGATAATCTCAACTGTTTTAGGGTAAGTTGACCATGACGGTCAACATGGTAATGCTGCCCGAACCCCAATCCGGGACGAAACGTCCGAAACCGACCACACCCAAAAACGACGCTTTCGCCATAGTGCTATCTACCAAACCATACAAGTTTTGGCTATTCTGAGGTGCTTATATGGTTCAGAGATAGTGCTTTTAGGGGTGGTCATTGGTAAGTGTGAAATGCCTAGCACTGATATTTCACAAGAAAATGACCATGTAATACTCATAGTCAAACGTGAATTTGTGGCTTACAACTTCAGATAAACAGCAGTGGACCTACATTACCTTTTTTCCTAAATCTTTTTGATAGAAACATAATTGGTACTTATTTAATTATATTATCACTGTTTTGGTTTAAAATGGTTAATATTTTGTGACCGAAATAATAATTTGAAATGTATTTACCTCCTGCAAATGGACGTATTTGGCCAAATTCTCCACTTTACTCCGCTGTTTATCGCAGATCTCGTTGAAATCCTTCCAAATATTCAGTTCAGCTCAAACATGACGGTATTAAGCACATTTTAAACAAGTTTTAACTGGGTTTCAAGTAGATCCTAGCTGTTTAACCATCGACAAGGTAAAACCTCAATTTTGTCCAAATTCGGCGCCATTTTGTCATCCCGTTCGGTTGTCCACAATGCGGCCTCGTTATTCTTCCATCCAAGCCATTTAACAAGAAATAATGACAAATGCATTGTATCACCCTGTAAGATGTTGCTTACGAGTCTTTCAAAACATTGCGTACAAATCTCGTGTGGCAAAGTAACAGGGACGTGCAGCGTTACCATGTTGACCGTCATGGTCAACTTACCCTAAAACAGTTGAGATTATCTGTCCTAAATGAAATGCATACAAACTCATATACAGGTCCTAGACTATAAGGATGAATAAGCCAAAACTCTAGTCTATTTCTAGATTTTGGGAATTTAACTTCCAGAGCAGCTAGTGCAGACTGTTGAAAACTATCATATATATAAGAATACAAACATCCAGATTTCGTGATTTTTATTTGTGATTTAATAGTAATATAGGTACCATAGGGGCCGGATTTTTGTGGTGGAGTGTTTTGGGGGTGCGTTCATTAAATATTCAGTAAATGATAGTGAGGTGGATGAGCGAGAGCTAGTTGAGTAAATTAAATATTCATACAAGTATTTTAAATATAATTTTAAATGTTTATTATTTTAGCTCGCCTGAACATTTAGTGTAGAACAGGTAGTGTAATATATGCTCATATATAGTAGCTATATATATACATCAATTAGGTTGATTGACAGTTCACATCATAATGACTAGCACATGTAATTGTAATAGGAACCTCAAGGGCACTCGCTAGAACACCTAGACATAACCAGACGTGTATCTTTTACTTATGAATAAATCTTCTATAAGCACATAGAAGCATTACATGGTGTCAGGAGTGGGATATGCCATAAAAAGCAGTAAACATGGCATCAGGAAACTTTCAATGGGCAGCGCCTAAACCTTTGGAATTAGACGGGAACGTCAGTGAAAACTTTCGCAAGTTTGAGGAGCACTGCATGGACGCTCTTCGAGAAGACTGAGCTGAAAGGACGGTCTGAAGAGGAAAGATGCTCATACTTTCTTCTATGCATTGGAAGAAAGGCCGAGAAGTTCACAAGACCTTGACGTTCGCAACGCCAGAAACAGAGACAAACCAAGAGGGTGCAACAACGTGGAAGAGAACAACAAACGAGCTAAAATCAGCGTTTAAAACCTACTGTAACCCGAGAAAAAATATTACGTTCGAACGACACAAATTCAACATACGGAATCAAGAAGAAAACGAAAGCATCGACCAGTATGTGACTGTTTTGCGCACTCTCGCAGCACCATGTGAATTTGAGACACTTCACGATGGGCTAATTCGTGACCGGATAGTTTGTGGAATTCGTAACCAGAGTATTAAAGAACGTCTACTTCGTGAATCCGAGTTAACCCTGCAGAAAACCTTGGATATATGCCGAGCATCCGAAGTATCTCGCAAGCAAGTGAAGTTGCTAAGCGATCAGAGTTCCGCCAATGTCGACGCATTGGGGAAAGACCAGCGAAAACACAGGAATTTTCGCAACCACAACAACAAACCGGAAAACGGAAAACCCCCAAACAAATCCTGCGGTAATTGTGGTCGAGTTCACGAGCCAAAATCTTGTCCTGCATATGGGAAAAAGTGCAATAACTGTCAAAAACTAGGACACTTTGCCAAACTATGTCGATCACAAGCTAAAAACCCAAAGAAATCGGTTCACGATGTAGATTATGAAAGCGACTCCTCGACGCACGGAATTGATATGGCGAAGACAGCTGTGACAAGTGACAATGACGAAGAACACGCATCTCTTAAAATTAACAACACGACAATTCGCATAAAACTCGACTCCGGAGCCGAGACAAACGTTCTAACAAAGAAAGATTTCGAAGCCGCTGTTCCAAAACGACAACGTCGTAGCAAGCTCAAAACGGGCGCCGCAAAACTGACCGCTTTCGGGGGCCATAACATTCCTATCATCGGAAAATGCTATTTAAAGTGTCAATACAAAGGAGCGACTGAAGTACTCGAGTTTCAAGTGGTCGAGACGGGCAAATCCTTGCTCGGAGTGTCCCTATATGTCGTGTGTCGTGTGTCGTGGGTTAAAAGTCGTGTGTCGTGAGTAAAGTCGTGGGTAAAGTCGTGGGTAAAGTCGTGGGTAAAGTCGTGGGTAAAGTCGTGGGTCGTAAAATGTGCTAAAAACGCATTTTTTCACGAAAATATTATTTTTATTTTTAATATTTTTTTCGTACATTTTCCTTTTATGCGCTACATAAATACAGGAAAATTTAACGCAACAGAACTCCAGTATTAAAATAAAATACATGCTGTCTCTTGCTGTTATCTGTAGTATAACAAGTAAATGTTTCCGTTTCGTATAGTCTAATAGCAATATAGTTTATAGATGTATCAGTTTGATGATAAAATGTCTTACAAACATATTGAGCTATAAATTCTACGCTGTAATTAATAAGTGGCTAACGCTCGAGCCTCAACTGATTTTGCCATTTTATCTCCTAGTATATGCCGGTTTATATATCGTTTAATTTAGCTTCAAAAACTTGATAAAAAACATGTTATTCGTGTTGGTTCCGGA